TGTATGCTGTTAGTTATTACTCAAAGGCCAATGACAAAAACTTAATAGCCTGTGGTCAAACAGTTACACAGAGTAAATATTGTCGCCAAAGAATTTCAAAATGTTGCCATCAAATAAATATGACTGAATGAAACTATTTTTTTTACGGATTTTTGTCGCGTTTAATTTAACTTTTTAATTCCCGACATTTCGACGGCGATAAAATCAGTAAAAAATATTAGTTTCATTTAATGTGTAGTCTTTAAATATTAACATAAAATTTTAAATATAACTGAATTTTGTGTAGTTTCAAATGTTCCTTTTTCAATGTGTGGAATGTATGTCAAGGCAAAAAAGCGTTTATTTTATATTTTGTTTAATAAATATCTGTGTTTTATATATTAAAGTGCAGTTGAAAGTGAAATGCAGATTGCTTAATATACAAACCTAAACATTTAATGAATAACGGTCGAAAATCGACTACTCTTGTACAGATAACTAAGAGAAAATATTTTTTGTCTGTGTGTTCGACAAAATAATTCAAAATAGTAGAGAGGTACTTAAATAATAGAATCAGGTGTTACTTTGCGGAAATCAATTATATTAAAGTTGGAAAAATTTACTTTGCCCATATCCGCTCAATAAAATAACATGATGTGTCTTACCTAGTTAGAAGAGCACCTCTCGCCCCTAACCACTAATCCCAGCACCACTACTCCCACCACCACTACACTAGTGAGATACTTATTAAAATATTTTGCTCAAGGACTTACTTGTTTTTTTTTATTACGCTAATAGGTCCTTCATCCTCAACATCAGCCTGTGTCAGGCCACGGCTAAAACGTTACCATTACCCTTACAACCTTTTAAAGTCCACTGCTGAACATAGGCCTCCCCATAGATGCCTTATAGGAGGTATATTTGCTATAGTTGCCACGCTTGACAAGCGGGCTGGCAGCCGCAGTTTTTTATCTCCTGATTTGTTTCCCTCTGTCGCCTCTTACGACACCCACAGGATGATATGGGGTTGTGGATATCATTTTTTTTTGTGTTGCAGAAGAGCCATAAGAGCTATTTACAATATTAAACCGAGAGAGTATAATATAAATATATTAACTTTGGCCTCTCAGTATATTTACGAAAATTTAATGTATGTTCACAAAAACAAAGATAATTTTAGTAAAAAAAAGTGATTTACACTCTGTAAACACTAGGAACAAACACAACCTAGTGATACCAGTCTCTCGACTCCACAGAGTCAGTAATTCATTCTTGGGGCAATGTATACGCTATTACAACAAAGTCCCAGAAAATATACAAGGTCTCTCTATTACAAAGTTTTATATTTAATTAAACAAAAACTGTATAAAAAGGTTATTATAATATAAATGAATCCATGGTTGATAATAACCCCTGGGAATGAGGTGGTAGCTTCCAAGCTGTTTCTAAAATAAATTTCGTAAATAGTTTGTAATCATTTATATTGTAAAATTTATTTAAAAAAAACTCCCGCTGGGTTTCTTGCTGGTTCTTCCCCGGACAGAGGGTCTTTTTCGAACCAGTGGTAATCTAAAAAAATGACTTTCAATAAGAATTACTTGTAATCAATATTGAATAAATTATTCTATTCCATTCTATTCTTACACCGCCCCTACACGGGTAAACATAGGTACTTAAATTATATGAATTCTAAATTCCATTCAACGTCTAATAATTCTTTTTAATATTTAGTTCGCGTCATGATACTACTCTGCGTCTTAGAATGTTATTATTTGGATTATTTTAGTTACTTTGGAGTTTTTGCCTAACTCACGCTTAACTCATAAAAATCTTTGAGTAAAATCTTTAAATTTCAAGCCTAAAATTAGTTTTAATAAAATGTCTTTTGTTTAACTGTGACCTAGTGTATAATTTATATATTATTTAAGTTATAAAAATAAAACGAAACGTGACTAAATAAAGAAGCATTAGGTAATATAATATCACAGTTCACTGGGCACAATTACACAATCTGCAGGTATCACCGCATTTTCTCGAGTTGCATGACAAACACCAGTTCATTCAACGGCTATAAGTATAAAGTACTGACTAAATTTAAATATACACACAGATACTTATCGTGTCGCTAAAACGTTAGTAAAAGTAATTGAAATATTTTATTTAACTTTTACCAAAATGCTTTTAAGATCAAAATGTTCGCTACGTAAGTTGGCAATTATTTCTAATAGTCATTTTAATCGATTAGAATGGCGGAGGAAGAGCCAAATTGCAGAGTAATAAAACTGCCCTCTTACTATCTAAGTTGCAACACATTGGTGCATTGTTGCTTTGAGGTACAAATAAAACAGTGTTACCGATTCTGATCGACTTATTAATTAAATGATAATATTATATAAAATAATAATATTGTCCATTTCTCCAGACAGAATTGCGACCACGGTGGCCAACTTAAAGGCCATCTGCGTAGGAGAGAATTATAGTGCTCGAGTGTATTTGCAAGCAGTGAATACAGGTGTTTTACCTATTCCGATACTCTCATATTTCGATGAGACGACAATCCGACACGACCGGAGAGAGATTAGGCGCAGAGGCAGGGGATAAAACACCGTTAATTTCGTGACTCCGGGCTGCTACTGATAACTTTTTGACAGAAACTGGGACCACGTGATCAGGTGTTGCGATCACGACTGTTAGACCAACGAGGCAGTCAATTATATAAAAATTATATAAAAAATTGAAGGCCTAATTACCTAGCTGATATGAATGTTCAAAGCAATTTTGTCTCTGAAAATATAAACCAAAAATGGAAAATTTCACTAGATTCATTTCTTTTCTATAAATTAATTTCATTTAAGTAAAATAATTAGCTTTTAAATATTTTTATATAGATAAGGTTTCACAACGTAAAACTGAAATAACTATTCTTACATTTTTGTTTCATTTATAATTTCGTAATTGTTTGTAACACGTGACCATGAAATCATAAAACAGACACCTTTCTTGTAATTTTATCTAAAAGTATTTCTTTAATATTACTATATTTTTATTCATCATCATCTTTACAGTCCTTCACAAGTCAACTGCTGAAACTGCCGAACATAGGCCTCCCCCATGGAATGTGTCAAAACGGGGCCTGAGTCACCTGCAACCATCGACTTCCTGCGTCTCTTACCAGGTCATCACTCCATCTATTGGAGGCTCCCTTACACTTTGCTTATTGGTACGAGGCTGCCACTCGTGAACCTTTCTTAACCATCGGTTAATTGGTCATAAAAATAATAAATGGGAGAATTGGAACGAAGTTAATTATCGGATGGAACGAATTTGACGGATGGGAGCTAAGCGAGAAAAAGTGTAAGATTTTTCCGTCACAACACTACAAAAAGTCCCTTTCTATAGGGCGGGCGAGATGGAATAATATCCATCTCCCTCGCACTTTTTATATCTTGCCATAAAAGAAATATTATTTTAATTAACGCTTCATTTTAATAGCCGCTAGTAATTAATTTATTTGTACTTGTTATTCAATAATATAATACGTTTATCAATAATAATATACTACGCAAGGAACTTTGTTTCAACCGAGTGTTCCACGACACTCACACATGATTTTTCAATTATTCATCTATCTATTTCAGCCTATAAAAGTCCACAGTTGAACATATGCCTCCCTCATAGATTGCCTCATGGGGATCCCCCAATCATGCCATTATTATTGGTGCACAAAAAATGGTCGACATTTTTTAAAGGCTTATTAAAGGTTAATTACTTTTTTTTAATTTAAAGAAACTGCTCCTGTGATTTGATAATGGTTTGCTCTTCAAATCAAGCAACTTTTTAATGCGAACAATAGCTTTCTAAAACTTGTATTTTATAATCTTCTTATCTTTATAATCTTCATTAGTATAAAACAAGATCCGAAATCATAACCATTTACAATTAAACTATTAAGAATTCTTTCAATTGTATTTTCACAGTGGGGTTAAAGCCCTCAAGGACAAAGTGCAATCGTCTGGATTGGAAACTAATTAGGTTGCTATTGTACCGACAACTGCACGCTATTCTACGCTAATTATCGAGTTGAGGTTAGATCCTGTTCCTTAAATCCGCAGCAGTAATTACTCGTTCCGCAGTTATTTAATTGCAATTACCTAGAATTTATTACCTACAAATTGAATTATGTATGAAGGTAGTAACAATTGAAAGCTATATACAAAATCATCCAATTTCAAGGTCGCCAAAAACCCCATACGATAGAATATACATTATTACTACATACCCATACTGTAAGAATCTCCATGACAAAAAGATAGACGCCTTTGGCGATATTAGTAAGTAAAAATACATACATATTCAAAGAAATTAAATATTTAAAAGTATTTACTTGCTCATAATGAAATAAACTGACTAAATACCTTGTTACTTTAAGGCTTTTTAACCGAGTTAACAAACAATAAGGTTCGATATTTGATGCGTATGTTTTTTTATGTATGTTCACTGATTTCTCAGAAACGGCTTGAACGATTCATTATTTTTTTATTACTTCAGGAATAGTCCCATATAAATCTAAAGAAAAACCTCTAATGGTGAAAATAGGGGATGAAGATTTTAGTGTAACTATTTAGACGACATTCCAGTTATTAATAGCAAATTTATATCGTCGTCAGATAAAAATATTATCTGTAAATTAAATCGTACATTTTTATCGGCCTAAATGTTGGTTATCTTGCCGTCCATTAAAATGCAGCATTTTGTTATAAATATTTAATAAATTCTCACTTTATTATATTTTTTGATCGTTGTGCAACAATATCTAAAAAAGTGATGACTCTCGTATGAATATGAGCTGCAGAATTTTGCTATAACTTTTAAAATTATGTTTTGTTTAGTAAAAATTAAATGTACCTAATTAAAAGATCCGTTACTTCCTCCATCTAATCCACTTAAGTATTAATTGTTTTCTTTCTCTATGTTGAGTCTATAGGACTTTTAAGTAAGGAAATATAAACAAAACTACAAACCTCATGTATTTCCTGTGCTCATTGACCGGCACGAAGTACTCGTCGTATGGGTTGCTCGCATTCATGTCAACCTCGACGTCTTTCTTTTGTTTTGCGTTTCCATTTTTGGGTGTTAAATTTATCAATTCCAAATTGACAGCTTCTAGGGTTTTCGTGTCGCCGTTGGGTTCTTTACTGTGACCATTTTGTTGAGGTCCATTCGAAGTGAAAGAGTCGTTGTGGTTTGGATCTGATTCATCGTGCTGGTAGGCTCTGTTCTCGAATGCTGGTGGTGAAGGCGGCGATGGCGGTCTGTGCTGCGGCCGCGCCGGCTCCCTTGGGGACGCCGATCTGCTGTGGCTTCTATCCATTACTTTTGGAGCTGACTGACATCTGTAAAGAAGAAAAGGTGGATTACAAAGGGAAGAAGGGCAGACAAGAAATTACATTTCTACTAAGCCAGATTAAAGTAACATTAGTAACCGTTTTATGATCAAGCTTATATTTAATGTTGGGGATTAAAAACAATAATCCTTCGCGGGAATTTTTGAGAAACACTAACATCAAGAAAAAGGTTAAGTTTTTTGCTATAGTTGCCAAACTTGACAAGCGGGTTTAGTATTATTTTTAGTTGTTACTAGGAAGACGCTGTTCCCTATCTCCTGTTACAGTTTCCCTCTGTCGCCATTTACGACACCCACATGAAGATATGGGGTAGTGGATATTCTTACACCGCCAATACACGGTTAAATATGTATTTTTGTAAACTAGACTGTTACTTTTTTAAATATTTTGATTTAGAATATGAATCTCATGTGTGTAGCAACCTCGTAATCTATTGTATTCAGGTAAATAGAAACCTTTTATTTTTGCAATTTAACGAGTGAATAGAGTATAGGTCACATGAATATTTTAGTATGTCTTGTTTATGTTTATTTTTATTTAAGAATGTTATAGTCAATAGCATGATTTAGAGTCTATATCTGCTATAGACTATAACATACACAAAACGCAATCATATTGGAAAAGGTTCGTCTATATTATAGATGTACCTTTTGCATAAATATTCAAAATTTCATTACTTTCAACAGATTTTTTCTTTATTAGTAGTAGTTTGTATCTGGCTGGTTTTAATACATAAAGGACATTAAGACAAAGAAAATAAAAAGCAAAAATACTTTCCCGCCATTTATCAATTGTTTTTCTGTCCGCCAAAATTAGTGAATTTAACGTTAAAATGAAATTCCTAAATATTCCATAATTCCATTACTTTCAACGGACATAATTCTTTTTCTTTATTAGCCCGCAACAGTGCACTACAGAAAATGGGCTTCTGCCATATTACATACCGAATGTGACAATTATGGCAAATCCCCCCCACATACTATAATCGCCACATTTGGTAGACGTCGTAAAACAATACAGCTTGCTATGCTTGTTATTTTGTATCTTCTGGTATTTAAAATCAATCAGGAGCTATAAAATCTTTCTAGCTTTACCTATAGTCGCCTCTTACCATAGCCACGGGACGATAGGAAGTGTGTCAAAACAAACCTTGCAGTTCCATTTTTCTTAGGCTCACTACACGGTTATATATAGACAGATTAATAGTAGGAAGTCACTGTTCACTCATTTTCGAGAGGGTTTTTAGGTCAAGGATATGTTCACCGCACTGTCCCAATGCGCGTTGGCGGACTTCACATGTTTTCGAAAGATATATATTTTTTTATTTCTCAGACATGCAGGTTTCGTCACGATGTTAACAACTGCAATTAACAATTTCATTGGTGCCGGCGGTGATCAAACGCGGGTTACTCGCATACTGTCATATTTACATCGAGCAGTTAGCCCCCAAGCTACCACGGCTCGGCGTTGTGAGAAATAACTAGACAAAATATAATTACGTCAAAAGTAAAAGAAGGCATATCAAGCACAATAATATAACGCAAGTTATCCTTAATTAACCGGACTCGCATTACTCATGAAATCAAAATTAACGTCCGGTTTTATTAACTTTGCAAAAACATTTTTTTTTTTCAGAAAACTATTATATGTCACCGCGAGTATTGGCAGTCGCATTTGTACAGGTTGTCCTTGTATTTCTTTGGCAGTATCCATGTACGACCGATCTATGTAATTAGATGATTTGGTGATATGCAGCGGACTGAAACTTGTGCCGCGAGTTATTAGGTCGTTTACCTTCCTAATGTGGATTACATTCATAATTATAAAGGTGTGTACACATTTGTGCATTTATTTATCCTCAATGTACCATAGCTACCTTTAGTATATTGGACGCCTCACAACGTGAGGGTGGCCATACCTCAGTTTCGCTACATAAAATCGTTCTTATACTTTTAGCTAGACATCAAATCCATATTATTATTAACGTTACAATAACTACAGACATTGAATTATAAGATTAGTTTATTTTCTATATGATTCACAGTAGATTACATAACAAAAAATGTAATTGAAAAAATATATGGACTGCCGTCCGTTGATCTGTGCATCGATGAGTGTTCTCGCTTATCGCCTCTCGATCCCTATTGATTATTGTTATTGAACTCAACACCATTCAAAAGTTATTAATGAAAGTTGATCAGATTCTCTGTTTTCTTTTCTTTTAAAAATTATCAACTATTTTAATTTTTTTTTCATCAAAAATGAAATGCTCATAAAGCGTGCACTTTTGGATTTTCCAAACTCTGTAAAACACTCGTATACGCGGCGGTTAAATTAAATTTGTTCCGTAATATTCAATTATTTTAAACCAGTGCTTGATGTAGTAGTAATTTAAGTAATAGTAATTTCACTTTACGGTAAGTGGTAAGATGATATACCACACAGCATAGCTTCTCAAAGCGTACTTCTGGTTTTCTTGCAGTAATTTCGTTTCTAACACTGGCGTATTTCTAAAGTTATTTAATTTTAAAATAGTAAGTAATTGGCATGGAGGCTATAATTGGGAGATTGATTAAATTTAACTGCAACTTTTTGTGAAAACTGCACCCGGTACATACCTAAGTAGGTACTGAAATAAATTGAATTTGATTTTAATTGTTTTTAATTGTAGGGGAAAATGAAACGAAGGAAGGAAAAACTGTCAGTCCAGTGTTATTTGTGACTATAATGCCTGTAAGGACATTCTAAAACGTTTTTTATGATTATGAACCGAATGGATGTAAAGACACCATTACGCACCGAGAGTGGCCGTCCTTAATCTCAAACATGCGAGAGTCGCACGAGGCGAGCCACCTTTTACTACTTGCAGTTAATTTAGTATTGTTTATTCATATAACTTTATTATGCAATTTCAGTGTTCATAAAAACTAAAAAACCTTGTCATTCAATTTCTTTTTAATTTTTACTCTCGATAAGTCAGTATTAACCAAATTTAAATATTAGCCTATTTCCCGCAGTGGACCTGTAGTAGACAATAATGTTGATGTTGAATCCACTGCACGACTTAAAAGGTTTATTTTCTACAGGGCTATTTTCCAAAGAGTAGCCAAATTTTAAATTTAATTTCAAATATATAAATAAAGGTATAACGTTATTGCAGTTTTTGGAAATACGAGTAAATAAGGCTTTTACTTTTATATGAGATTATCCTAATAGCGGAAGTTATGGTCGACGGACAGTGTTTGGCAATGTTCAATATTATTTTGTAATAATATTTTATGGAATATGTATAAAAATCAACCATTAGAATTGAAGTTAAGTTAACGCTATTTTATGTTACCTTTCTCACCTGGTACCTGTGAATTGGCCGTCTAACCAACTTAGCAGGTATGCTGGCATTCAATCCATATATAAATACTACTCGAGGCTACACATTTTGTCCTTTAGAAAATAAGTTATGTCTGGGTGCACTGGGCTCTTGGACCATCTGTGCAAATTTAACCGGTTATTGTATAACCCTGTATATGGTAGGACTGTTTTTGTGCCTTCTTTCCTATTTCTGACGCTAAACAACAATGCGTGTACTACAGATTTCCAGTGTAAAGGAGTTTCAGTATAATTATCAATTTTTTAACGTCGGTCCCTTATGCGATTCTACTATAATCTCCACGGACCCCTTAATAATACAACAACGCAAGATTACAATAAAGTATAAATAAATAAAAATAAATATTAACACACCACAAACATCCAAAACCCAAATTAACCGCTCGACCACGCCTCTATCATAATTTTTTACTTTTATTTTTATTTTGTTTGCGGACTCTTTAGGATTGATACTTGAAATCTAAGGGGTTCGCGGACCCCAGGCTAGAACATCCTGTCTAGAAAAATGTATATTGTACATACATAATATATTGTGAATTTTCATGAATAAAGGTTCTTCAAAAATTTTCCTAACAAATTAACTTCCCCGCTATGAAATCTGTGAAACATTATGTTCACATATACCTCACTTTTAAGTGGCGCCGTCCTGGTGGCAGAAAAAGTCGTGGATGCCCTTATTGTTAAATAAGTTATAGTAACATAGAATACTATACTATTTCTCTGGTACGTTATATTTAAAAATCTAAGTAACTTTTGGCCAAATACTTAAACAATATTCAATCGTCGTTAAGTCTTGTGTTGTCACAGTCACTTTGACTTAATATGATAGAGACAGCACGAGACTTAACGGCACCTTAAAATTTGCGTTTGAGTATTTGGGAATTAGAAAGATGAAATAGGAATGAAAAATGATGTATAAGAAAAACTATGTTTTGTTTAGTAGTTACAGGAAGGTACAGGATTTATCTCACCTCGATCTTTGTTGTCTAGGCTTACTTCTTGTATCTATTACCAGGGACCTCGTGTAATAATATCTAGCGTGAGCCGAGCGAGGAGTTCGCGGCGTTTTTCTGTACCGCTCGCTCCTCACCATATTCCCGCCACCGGGCATTTTGACCATTTACATTTTAATTTAAAAGAAAAAGAAAAAAACTGTTTCTATAATTTCATTTTTTTAAATGTCTTTGTCTACAGCACTGACGTCCGCGCGGGACAACGATGGGCTCCAGTTTCAGATGACGGAGAAAACAATCATGTAAACAATAATATTGATGTTATTTCCAATTCGAATAGAGGGTGCGTGTTTGTCATTGAAATGAGTAAAGAATTTTAAGTCTTTATTCAATTATACTTTTATAATTATTCTGGCCCTAATAATTGATACGATTCATTCCTATGATGCGATTGTCAACTGTGCAAGCATTTTTTTCTTTTATAAACGTAGGGGTGACAATCGAACTCACAGCCTACCTGATGGTATATAGATGCAAAGGCCCTTAAATAGACCTGTACCTCTATCCTCGATAATTAAATTACATGGACGTTATAAGACTAAGTGGGATCCCTCGTTACATTATTA